GCGGGAAATGAACGAACGAAAAGAAAAAAAAACAAAAACGAAGGGAAATCCAACAATTTTATTTTATTTTATTTTTGTGGGCATTCCCCCATGCCAACCTCCTCTTCCGCCGCAGACACTCACAACCGGGGAGAACAGAAAGGGGGGGAGGGAAAAAAAAAAAAAAAAAAAAAGGGTTGCGTAAAGCAACAAGTGACACGTTGAGTAAAAATTGCCCAAAGAAAATGGAATGGAAGATATTTTTAGCAGCGAATTTGAAATTAAAAAAAAAAAAAGGAAAAGAAAATAAAAAGCGAAGATAAAAATGTTTTTTTTTTTTTGATTGAAACATGAAATAAATTTGTGCCGTTTTTTTTTTTTTTGTTGTTGTTGTGGAAAAGGGGGCCGACACGCACCGTTTTTTGTGTGATTTCCCTTCGGTGTGTGTTTTTTTTCTTTCTTTTTTTTTGCCCTGCCCCGCCTTTCTTTTCCTTTTAAATACATATATATATATATATATTTCTTCTTCTTCTTTGCCCTGCCATTGCAGGTAAATCGCAGCAATGGCGCATCACCGCAATGGGGCTGCACCGCACGCGTTCTTCTCCATCACAAACCAGCGAACAGGGGAGGTGCTGCTGGAGTTGACGTCCTTGCCCCTCCCTTTGCCCACCACAACGGCCACGTCTGTGGAGGAGAGTCAAAATTGTTGTCGTCGCTTCAACGACGCATTTGCGTTTGTTACGGAGGCGCAGGCGAGAAGTTACGATCTTTTTGGCCGCAGTATGGCGAAGGAGTCCAGCACGAGGCCTGCCGCAGCCGTCGTCGCCCCTCGCGCTCGGAAGGAAAAGGACGTTGACATGATGATGGCGTACGAGGCTCCGAGCAGCAGTGTCATGGACTCCGCGGAGTGGGAGGATGACGACGCGTGGCCGGACGACGGCGATCATGACGAGGGGGAAGGCCGCGGTTTGTTGGGCCCACCCACGAAAAAAACTCGAAGATGACGTGGCGCCCCGTATGTTGGGGACGCACGAAGGAGCACCGGAAATAAAAAGGTGAATGGCATCACATTTTGTTGAAAATTATGCGAGAACAAAAAATGTTTTAAAAATGTAATTTTTTTTTCTTTTTTCGGGCGGGATGCCGCTGTTGTTTTATGCGAGCTTTTATTATTTATTTATTTATTCATTTTTATTTTTATTATTTTTCTTGGCAGCTCACCATAAAAGGGAGCGGAGTGGGCACTGACACACACACACACACATATCTATATAGATATCTACATGCCCACAAATATGGCGAGGAAGCGCAGTCGGGCGTGGCAGAATTCACCCAACGAGAAGCGCAAAAGGGGAACTCGCATCAAAAGTGGACTGGGAGAACTGGGCGATTTGGATGCTGTTGCGCCTACAGGCGCCTCTGGAAGGATCCGTGCCGACGTTTCAAACACGAAGGCGGTGGGTTCTGCGTCGGCGGAAGGGGAGTTCGCCTTTTCTACTGCACCCTTTTTGTCCTTTTCCCGCTTAGCGCCGAGTGTGTTTGGACACGGGTGGGATGAGTGGAAGCGTGTGAAGCAAATGCTATTTGATCCTCAGGACGGGACGGGCCTGACAGAATCTAGGCGCAAGGCATTGAACCGCATCCAACTTGTGTGGAAGGCACGTGAGCGTAAAAACCGGCAGCTTCCGGCGTATGCGGAGGCCACAGCGCTTCTGATGGAGGCTTTTTCACTTGACGAAGGAGATCAGCTTTCGTCTTCGGGTGCTGTTTCTTTTTATGGTGCGGCGATATCACGTGCGGTGCATCTCATGACAGGCAGTTTTGCTCGTGGGGCGGCGGACACTTACAGGAAGCGGGCTCGACTGATTGGCTTTCCCGAGGAGGCGGTGGAGGTGCGGCAACGTGTGGCGCACGGTGCCCTGCCCCTTCTGTCTGAGCTTCGGTGGGTGTGTGGGCTTGTGCTGCAGTTTTTGTTTCACCACTACTGGGTGGAGCAGGAGCGTCATGTGCACCTCATGGAGGAAGAAACAGAGGGTGAGGAGGACAACACGACGTCCGGACATGGGGTTCAACAGAGTGCCCCAAGTACCACAGTGGAGGAGATGCGGCAAATACTTGAGGATCTTAGCGACGTTGGTGAAGATGTCACCGATTACTCTAATGACCGTGTTGAATTCCTGCAGGATGGCTGGCAATTGTGCTGAGAATAATGGAGAGAGAATCCAGATGTGAGTGTGAGTGTGTGTGTGCGAAGAAGGCGACTCTAACATTGTTGTTAAGGAACAAACTGCTGCGTTTATTTTTTTATTTTTTCTTGTATTTGCCTGTGCGTGCAAGGCTGGTTGTGCGGGGGAGTGAGCAATGGAGAGAAGAAACTTTTTGACTGAAGGGATGATTGACCCCTTTCTCATTTTTTTGAGACCCATCTCTCTTTCTTTCTTTCTCTCTTTTTTTGTGTTTGTGGATGTATGTATGCGTATTCTTTTTCGATGTGGAGAACAACAACAACAACAACAACAACAACAAGGGTACTTGTGAAGGAGTCATCGTCACTGCCAGCATCAGGGACAGTGGAGGGTCGTGGCTGCAAGCATAACTCCTCGGAGTATCATTTTATAATGGAACTTGTTGCCGAGCTTCCGGGCCGTCTCTTGACAGGCCTGGCGTTAGATGCAAACGACGACGTATTTGCCGTATGCGCGTGCAGCGGAGAGCTGCTTCGTCTCAACAAGACGAACGGCACGATGATTCCCATCATGGCGACGGAGACTTCGCCACATGCTCTCGCCATCGATCCCCGCAACGGTGATGTATACCTCACCGACCGCAGTGAGAACGCCATCCTGAAGCTGGAGGCGGTACCAAATGCCAAGGGGCATGCTGAGAAGGACGAGAAGTGCGACAATGATCGTGGTGAGGTGGATTACACTGTTGTGCGCTACCTGAACAGCTTTGAAAATAGACAGTTTGTGGGACCGACAGCTCTCGCCGTCGCACCGGACGGTGAGTTGTTTTTTACCGACGCCGGGGCAGAGGGTGACTCGTCGTTTGCCGACCCGGTGGGCGCCGTCTTCCGCACGCTGCAGGGGCACAGCCAAGTTGTTCCACTCTGTCGTCGCGGTCTCATACGCCCGACGGGAATTGCCGTGACAAGCGACAAAAGCGTGTATGTCTGCGAGCAGGGCACCAACCGCGTGCTTCGGTTTGTGCTTCGAGGGACGTACTACATCGGAAGTGTCTTTGCGCAGCTGCAAGGGGGAATGGGCCCCAGCGCCATCGCCGTTAGAAAAAGTGACGGCTCCATTTTTGTGACCCAGTACGACATGAAGGGATCTTCATCGTCATCCTCACCCAATGAAGGCGCTGGCGGCATCATTACGGTCATTGGGAGGGATGGCGAGGTGAGCGGCATTGTGCGCACAACGTGCCCATCTCTTTGCGCCATCGCTCTGGACTCACGAGAGGAGACGATCTACGCGGTGGAAGCGGACGAGGCTTCGGGGGGCTCAAGACTGCTCCGCTTTCGACTCTCCCCGGCAGCGCAGCAGGTGACGGAGTGAGTTGGG